GGCAAAATTCCGTCGTTTTCATACTGTAAAAGCCAACGCCTTAATAATTTTGACAAAACATTTCGGCATCGATAAATTGGCAGCGGAATTTTCCGGCCCAACAATTTCGGCGAAAAAGCGCAGGTGTGTCTCATATCGCGGTCCGACAATTTTCAAGACACGAAAGCACGAATGAAACTGACCATTGATGCAGAAATAATGCAGATGTTGGCCTTTGCGGAAAATTCGCCATGCAAAAATTCGCCATGCAAATTGCAGCAATTCGCGCGAAAACGAGCAGCAGGTATGCAAATTTGACAAAGCAGAGCGAGTGGTACAAATTGAAGGGCTTTGGAATAAAATTACACGTTTGATGGAATCTTCATTGGCAAGAAATAAAAGGAATAGATCGTTTGAAACCGAACGAGCGACAGAAAATTGACCGAAAATTGAAAAAATCAGTGATTTTACCATTTGAAAATAATCCAAAACTGAACATTCTCTGCTAAATCCAGTACAGCAGCAGAGAAAATTGGCCAGCATTTCAATAGTGTTTTCATTGGTTTCTCTCCACAATAATCGGGAAAAAAATTTCAAGTTTTCGGAAGAGAATTTCAATCTTTTACTTTTTCTTAGTTTTCCACGGAAATAATATTTGAAAGAGTTGCATGGTCATTTTTGTAGGTTCGAATTCTACTGAAGCACTTCCGTTTCGCCCACGAAAAATTAATTACTGTAGCAGATAAATAATTCTGACACTCGAATCATTGCAGAAAATTTTCAAGCTGATCTTGGAAGGGCAATTCCTCAATCCAAAAAAATTTAAAAAATTGTCGGAAAAATTTCCACCCGGAATTTCGACATGAAATGATGAATGCTTGCGGAGGGAAAGACCCGAAAATTTGCATAATCCTTCCGCTCTGAGATTATCCGTGAAATAACCAGGCTTCGCATTCCACTGAACCTCCGCTGTCTAAGAGCCTTAAATGTACGACTTTACGAAGTAGTACGAAAGTCTTCGGAAGGTCTCTTTCATCCAGAGTGTCTATATCTTTTGGTAGGCGGCCTTTTCTTTTTGATGCGTCCAAAAGAAGTGCATCGGTTTATCTGGATATTGTTTTTCAAAAAACCTCGTCCAAGTGGGTCGATACATTTCACGAGAAATGAAATTTGCATAAAAATAAAACCGAGGATATTTCCGAGTTCTCACGTCGATATGAAAGATGGCGGCTGATTTTTTTTTAAGTGCACATAAATATCCGTACTGTGTTTTTGAAATGCATCCTTTTAAAAATTTGTTTGCGAAGTTTAAAAATGTCAGCCTGGGAAAAATGTTTTTTCAATCATTGAAGCGAAGAATTCCTTCGTTTTTGACTAAATATTACTTGATCAACCACATTTTTCAATTCTCACAAGAAATTCGAAATAAGGTACCTTCGAAAAATGTCCTTTCATTTAATTCAAAAAATAAGACGCCATAGTTTTCATGTACCTCAATTATTCGTGAGTCTCAAACCAAGGAAAGATATTAAAATGCGTATTCTGTAAAATGTCTTAAATATCACACAATGTCTCCTGGATCAGAAGAATATTAACAATCAATTTTTGCTTCTTTGCAATTTATTCAAGGCCCATTGACTTGAAATCATACGAAGAATTTGTCAAATTCAATTTAAGATGAGTCTCATTACTTCTGCTGGTCAAAACGAGACGATTCCAAATACGCCTTTGAATAAAAAAAAAGCCATTGAAAACACGAGAGAAAAACTTGAAAATTTTAGCTCAAGCAAATAGGGAGAAAAAATTCTTCGAATTCAGCGAAGAACTTCGAAAGCGAAAAACACAACGAAAAAAAATCAAGAAAATCTATCGCTTCAAAGATCAAAAACAATATTTCCCCACGATAGAAAATCTTCAACCTCAGCCTAAAATTAGCGAGAAAAAAAACACTGGGATACGCTTGCAAAACATAGAAAGGAAATTGAAATCTAGCGTGGAGGGGAAAAAAATATTCAAACTATCAACGTCAGTCGTTTTCTTGAGAGGAAAAACGCTCGGAAAATACGGAAAGGAAATTGAAATCCACGAGCAAAGCAAAGAAAAAAATCAAGTTTTAAACTACAAACAAGTTAGTCGTTTTCTTTCCGGATTACACGACTATATATATACGGCTTCGAAAGCGAAGAACAATCGGCTGATTTCCCACGGAGAAATCTTTCAATATTTATCCAAGTTTTCCGTCGTCGACGTAGCGGGAAAATGTCGCGCAAATATTTGCGAAATCTGCAGAGAGAAACTTGAATGTCGGCATGAGAAAAAACGGTTGGATTATTTTTTCTTTCTTTCTTTCTTTTTTTATGGCGAAGAGGAAATGAGGTCTCGAGCACTCTAAAGTTCAAGAAAACCTCTTGCTCCGTTATAAAGTTGCAATCCATGCACCGAAGTTTTCACATTGCAATGTACACTTGAACGTATTTTTCAAAGCAAGAAATTTGCTATGAGCATGAAAAAACATTCCCCTGTATTCACATCACTACATGTTTTCCTCTTGAAAATAATACGAAGGCTTTTCTCTAAAATTTGCCAAGAAAACGTCTTGTGTTTCTTGCTGCACAAGAATCAATTGAATTTTGAAGTTTAGTACAGGACTTTTGACACACACAAAAAAATCTTTCACGCATGAAAAACGAATTAAATTTAAAATATCCTCACTAAGCATTTCTTACAACCGCAAAAGAGATGCATTCCCGAATTTCCATACAGATTTGAAAAGAAATTCGGCTCGAAAATGAAGCTCTAACATATTTTTTTCAACACAAATGATTCTTGAAAAAACAAATCTGGAAACTTTTTATGAATTCGGAGGTAAACCTTTTCGAAATCTCAAAATTAAATCGCACAATCCTCTTGGTGTAATCCTAAATGTTCACAAAGCGAAACAAAAAATATTTGTATTCTGATTTGAAAAAAAAGACACATGAAATCCAAGACAAGTTTCAAATTTCTTTGCTATACTGCATCTCAAATTATTTCACGTTCGCGTTAACTGTATCCAAATTTCCTCCAAATTTCAAAACTGAAACGAGGTCAAAATAATAATAGTTTCCATCTGCTGTACAGTGATATAATAATCATTTCAAATACAAAAACCTCTCTTCGCAACAGTTTCCATGCTTTCTTCGAGCTATAATTACAATGAAAGAGTATACTGTACTCGGGAATACTTCTTAAATTATCACCAGACACAAAATTTCACCAAGATTCTCACAGTAATTCAGAAAATTTACAGAAAATAAGTACCTTTACTCGACAGTACACGGAAAAAGATCAGTGACACCGAATCACGCCACAAGACTCAACTCTGTTCTCACATAAATCAGAAGTACAGTTAGTTGTTCTCCCAGGATTCAACAAAATTTTTCAAATAACATCCGTTTTTTTTAAACATGAACAAAAAGTCACTCAACCTCTCAGGTTAACAGCCTACTTCAACATTAATAGCAGCTCGTCAAACAATGACGACGTTCTGGTCATAAAAAAAAATCTTGTAAATATAGATTCGTTGAAAAACAACTTCTTCCACGTCCGCATTCCTGAAAGTTGTCTAGATCATCATTACGTCACACCACATGCAGACCACAAAAAAAACAAAGGGGGGAATTTCTGATCACGGATTCTTTGTTGCCCGAATTCATCGCTACGACAATAGATAAGCATAAAACTAAGAGTCATCAGTCCTTCCTTTTTTTATCGCCGCTAAAATATGCCGTAATCGAGTCTCGGAATCTGAAATGCGGAAACGTCAAGCATGGTATTCTTTTTATGGGCAATGAGAACCACAGGATGACGAGGGTTGACTAACAAAGGGCAGGTAGGTCTTATAGGCCTGAAGGTTATTCAGAAGGACGTTTCGGACTGTCGCAATGGGTTAAGAGCATTAATTGATTGATTTATTGATTAATCGATTCTTAGAAACTAGCGACGCAAAATAAATTCGGTACGCTCGCATTGAAGATAGATACAAGGTTTCTAAGAAGCAATCATAAAATCACGTTCCATTCACATCAAATTGATTCTAAAAATAAAATTTTGACATATTAAAAATATTCTGTGAAAGTTTTGAAAATATTCATAGTTATATTTATTTTATTAATAAAAATAATTTTTGAAACATTTTTTGAAGAAGTTCTCATTAAAGTCACGTTCCAGTCACATCAAATTGATTTTTAAAATAAAACTTCGAGATATTGAAAAATGCTGTGAAAGTTCTTAAAAAGATTCAGTTATATTTATTTTATTAATAAAAATAATTGTCGAAACATTTTTTTAACGCCATCAATTTTCGAAAAATAAAATTTTCACGCAAGAAACTGTCGCATTACAAAATTCGAAGGAATATGAATATGATTCGTGGACTCGAAAAACGTTCGGACTCTTCAAGCAGAATAAATTTAAAAATAAAAAGTGTTTTTCGCGAGAATCTTCGAGAAATTTTAAACTAATTCAGTTGCTACGATATTTCGATACGCTGATCGATCAATCGAAAAACTAAATTAAATCCGCAGCTACCCTTTCAAGTAATGATCAATCAAGATGCAGATTGCGCGCAGAAAATGGTCCAATAAAAAATTGGCAAGAGAATGAAATTGTTCCGACCGCACCAAAATCGAAAAAAATTTCAACAAGGATTTCGATACCATCCAAAACATTCTTACGTTTTACCCAAAAGATTCTTGCGATTTACCCCAAAAAATCAATGGAATCAATCACCGGCATTCCATAAAATTTTGTTTCATTCCTAGATTTCATAAGGGCCACTTATCATGGTCTCAAAAAGCTTTGAAAATGAGGCACTTCAAAGGTTTCTGCGCCTTATCATCAACGTGAAAGCACCAAAAGGGCGGGTTATGTTCTTTACTGCTGGTTAAGATACAGAATTTCAAAAATTGAATAAAGCCTTTCAACAGCTTCTCTCAAAATTTCCAAAAAGGCATCGCGGAAAATTCCATAAACACAAATTTTCAAAACTCACCAGTGGATTTTCCGTATCCCCAAACCGGCATGATGAGGTTTTTTGTATTCGACTCAGACGATTGATCGGAAGACGACGACGACCTGCTTGGCCTAAAAAAATCCACCACAAAAAAAAGAAGAAGGAAGAAAAAACCCAAATTCAAATTTAGAAACATTTCAAAAGTACCACTTCAACTCAGACACAATAACCACCAACATCAAACACGCGATAACCAGGCAGTGGAATTTTTTTTTTTTTTTCAAAACTACCGACGCACAAAGCAGGTGCTGAAAATATTTCCTCCGCGTTTGAACACCCACCAGAAAAAAAAACGGAAACCACGAAGGAATTTTAAACAAAAGAAAGAAAGAACACCGACACAAGATACTGTGAACCAATAATTTCTCAAGTGCTTAAAACAACAACTACGACAACGACAACAAAAAAAGGAGTGCGGAGTGCAACAAACCCAGTTCCAAGGCAGCCTTTGTGCAGCCTTGTTGACCAAACTTAGCTTCTTTCGCTGGCTTTTGCGTAGCTGAAAGCCGTTATCTTTATTAAATAGTCTTGGGTTGGTTCGTTTATTGCTGTCTTCGGTCTGCCTAATCCATGACATTATTCATTAAAAAAAACTGAGTTCTTTCCTTTTCTTGTCTCATTAAAGACCGTGAACTTTCTTTCCAAGTACGTTAAAACTGACGGCATTCGTCGAGTTAAACTTTTCATGAGAATTTTGTCAAGTATTGACGATAATTTCAGCTTCAAAGATCTTTTATCCTTTAAATTTGCGAAGAAGTGGGATCAGAACTAAAGTCTTTCGTCTCATCTGAAACTTTTTAGATGGATATTGAAAAGTTGGAGTTCTAAAATTAGATTAAAGCAGTTCTGCGAATTAGTCTTTTCACAGTGCCAAGAAAAGAAAATTTCCTCGAAATCAGCTTCTAGACAGGGTATTTTAATTAGGGTTAATAAATATTCATCTCGAAGCTATTTCTGAAAGAAAAAGAAAAAAGTCACGGATTTTTTCCTCCGAATACATCCACTATTGAAAATTAGAAATTAATTTCCAACACCTTGAAAACATTCCAGTTCTCATACATGAACTTTGAATCGCAATTCCGAAAAACGAAAATAAAACATTTCACATAGAAGATTTATTGTTCAGCACTAAGATTAGATATGCTCAAGCGTGAACAAGTAATTGCAGCATTCGAATGTTCTTGAAAATCTTCACAGTAAAATGAAATAAAATGACTCTCCACGAAATGAACCACTATTTTCACGATAATCTCGCATCACAGTATTATCAAGCTCCGTTTATTTTTATCGTGATGTGTTTCAAGAGAAAAAAGACGATTCCTTATAAAAACGTGCGATGAAACATGGTGGAAAACTGAAATGCGCAATTTGAAAAGTAAATTTAAAACCTTAACCAGAAAGTCTGAAAATTTTCAATTCTTTGATTGAATTACGTTTCAGGGGGGTGGTAGAAATGAGGGACCTTCTAATGGAATCACATGATTACACACATACAGTATTATAAATTTATGTGGCAGGATATTTATATAATTCATGTTTATCTCTACCTCGATTCGAAGACCGAACATTTTTCCTTCCATACTTCGTTTAAATATATTTTCGAATCAGTCAATAATTTTTTCTTTTTTTTTCTACATTCCGATGGACGCGGAGCCCCTTTGTCCAGCTGAAAAGAAAAGTAGGGGCTCCGTGGAGCACAAACAAGTTGGGGAACCTCTGCATATAAATGTTTCATTGAGCTATTTTGGGTTTTAAAATGTGTTCGCTGGGGGACTCTTTTACGCCCCGAGCTTACTCACTCAGCATGCATGGGAATTAAATTAAACAGGGCACGTTACTTCTGGGCTCTAGGGCTCATATCACGTTACTCACACACTAACATTTCTCCCTCGGTATCAAAAGCGAGGAATGCAATCGTGACAAGAATAAATACAGTCGTGATAACGAGCATCATCACAACAACGAGTGTCAACAGACAGACGGCAATGGAATGAAGCAGATAAGTGGGATAGATTTACCCGAAAATCGCTGATACCCCGGATCCCATCGCCAACAATAATCTGCCTCGTAACTCCCTAGTGCTATTCAAATCAAATGAAAATTTATTTTTCTTGCACTTTATTAAAGAAATAAATCCGGATTCAACATTGAAAAATAACGGTACCTTTCTGATTTCACTCGAAAATTCTCAACGCTTTGAGGGGTGATGAAATTTAAATTTTCGGTTGGGAACCAGGAAAAAGATAAAAAATTTTAAAAATTATTAATTTTAAAATTTTATTTCATATTATTTGTAATATTTTTATATCATTTTAATTATGAATCTAAAAATTTGTATCTAAATATTCAAGCATTATTCAGAGAAAATTCTTCGTCAAAGTTGAGTTTCTGAGTTATTAAATATCAGGAATATTCCTCAAAATTCTCCCAATTAAAATCTTCACTACCGTTTAAAATTATGGGTTTCTTCAAGCGCTGAATTTGAAATTAACCTTTGAAAAGGAAAGATTTTATTCACGGGAAAATAAACTCCGGTTCCCCTTTTTCCCCCACAACATTTTATTTCGTGGCAGTATTTCAAGACAGAACAAAGATTTGGAAATTCTGATTTAAATATTTGGAACAAAAAGGAACAATAAAAAGATTAGCATCTCGGTTTTTCGTCTTGTTGCAAAAAAAATAAAGCACCTGTACGTCAATTTCAAGACGGATTTCCGGAAAACTTAAAACTTTGAACCGAGAATTCAAGATTCAATCCGAACAAATACCCTCAAGGAAAAACATTTTACGTGAATTTCTTTCCCGCTGCATCGGGCAGGAAATTTCAATTTATATTCTATAAGATGTAAATTCAATTGCATGCTTCCACACATTTCTTGCTCACAATTAATATTCCCTGCATAAAACGAAACTAAAAAAATCCTTTCTTTTTCCTTCGTATGCTCTCAGAAATAAAGAGAAGCCTCAAGGCCTCAATTTAAAACTCAGCTTCAAAAGGCCTGGGGTATTTATTACAGCAACATCTGAAGCTTCTACGACGAGTTTCTTCTTTCCATCTAATAATGTAAGTAAGCTATATTTATCGTGGGACAAAGTTTTTGCTGGACTCCACAATAGCAAATATCCATCACACCCCAGGTATTCCCATGTGAAACCCGGTGCAGTCATGTATAGTCCGGTTTCTTTTGCAATTTAGGTGACCCACGATGAAAAAAAAATCTCGCATTCAAGAAATAACATATTTAAAAAAACGAGAAAAATACTTGAAAGGAAATGATGTCTTGCACCCAGCAACGCTTATATACTCAACAACAAACAAAGAAATTTCACGTTTCGAGTTATATTATACTGCAGATACAAATTTTAAAGATCAATGGGTACAAATGCTCGACGAAAGTTTCTTCGACTATTCGAATTTAGCGGCACAAAAAAATCCAACTCTTGCCAATCACTGTTGAAAATTGCTAGAGAAAAGTTTCACGATGAATAATTGACTGACGGCATTTATTACCGCCCTTTCGATTCTCGACAGTCCAAACTTGACTAGTGAAATTTATAAAATTGCTTTCGAGAAACCCGAGAAAATTGTAAACTACACGTAATTTCCTTTCCGCACAAAAACTCGGGTTTAAATGAATGCGTCTCGCGATAAATTTTAAAAAGTGAAGCACTGAATACGTTCCAAAACAACTTGCAATTAACAAAACATTTAGCAGAAACTAGAAAACATTTCTGCGACAGATGTTTAAATAATTGAATAAATCCGAAGTTTTTTTTAAAATTTAAAAAAGTGAAGCACTGAATACGTTCCAAAACAACTTGCAATTAACAAAACATTTAGCAGAAACTAGAAAACATTTCTGCGACAGATGTTTAAATAATTGAATAAATCCGAAGTTTTTTTTTTTCAAAACTGAGCTTCGAACATTATAAACGCTCGAAAACTTAATTCTTAGAAAGTCAAATTTGCATTCGAAAGCCACTTGAAACTGAAAGAAAAATTTCAGACAAGGTTGAGACAAATGTGTCGCCGATAACAAAAGCTGAATCAACAACATGCTCTTAAACCCCTAAGCTTATTCAAGATACATTCATGCAATTTTTGTTGAAATTCACTTTCAAAAAAATTTGAAAGCCACAGGAAATTTGAAAGAAGGCATATCGAACAAGCTTCGAATTATTTAAAACCGCATGCTTCATTGGTTAAATATCCGAACTGCTCTAAAAAACGAAGCTCGTGTAACAAATACGAGTAAACATTAATTTCACTAGGAAATTTTTGGGACACTTGAAATTGGCGACGCTTTTACCACTTTTCAGGTCAACGGTTCACTGGATATAAATCGGAAGAAAGTCAGAAATTTTCGGAAATTGAGCTAACGTTCGTAGTTTAATCAATTTTTAGGTTTCAGGACGAAAATAAAATCTTTTAAATTAATTTTACATCATTCGAAACTGGTTGGTTTTTTAAGGTCGCATTCTTCCACGTTTGCATTTTTGAATCAATTTGAAATTATTTTCGTGAGCACTTTTTCAAAATTGAGATAATCTTTCGGACAAGTAAGGAATGATCATTATTTCGTTCACGTGCTTCACTAAATTAAAAAAAATTTTAATGCCGCAGCAACAAATTTTAAGAAAATTGCATGCAAACTGAATCTTTTGAAGTGCTCCAACATGTAAATGGAAGTTCAATTGAAATTATTTTTCCACGTTACGTTCTTTCATATTCGCATACTAATATCAATTTGAAAGCTTTTTTCAAATGATTGAATATAAATTTCAAAGTTACGCGCTTCAACCAATCATAAACCTTTAAAAAAGTACCGAAGCTCAGCGACCCGACAACAAACTTTTTAGCGAATTGCTTGAAAACTGAAAAGAACATGTCTCTTCTATGTACAATGCAGTAATTTCGAGTTCATCCGAAATTGGTAAACTTTTTCCAAGACCACATGCTTCCCTATTAGCACATCTGAATCAATCTGAAGCTATTTGAAAATGAAATTTTAAACACTTTTTCAAGAACCCTTCTCGCAAAAACTCGGGATTATAATGTAGCATCCCCACGATATCTGAAGAATCCCAACAACATTTGCACAGAAGCCTTATTTTTTCTTCTAAAAATGTATTTATGACTCGTCAATAGAAAGTACACTAACTGTTACTCAACCACTGGAAATTTCTTGCAGCATAATAAATTGAGAAAAGATATACAGTATTGTGAATAAATTGAGAAACCTCGGAAAAACGAATGGTAGTTAAAATTATCCAAAGAAGACATGAGTTGCCTTGGCTTTTCTCTTGACTGAACTTCGGACGAATTTTCCCACGCTGAAAGGCATTATTCCAATTTTTTTTTTAGTTTAACAAAGCATTCCTTCAAGCCTACCTTGGCACTGTTTTTAAACATTCCACTATACGTCTGCTTCATTGGATCTCAATTGTTTTCCAAAACACAGAACAATTTTAAATGCCTGCCAAATCTTGAGCGTTCAAGCACAATTTTTAAGTCGGAAAATTTTTTTTTAAAAACTTTGCCAACCTCACAGTAAATAATAAACACAGTAAATAAAAATATGGAAAAAAACCGGTCAGGTACACCGCAAATGCAAAAAATATATATAGGATGCCCACGAGGGACGCTCATTGCAGCAGAAGCCAAAACAAAATAATAATAATAATAATCACACAGAAAAACACGTTTGGGAAAAGAAAAATACAGTATATATGCACGAGAAAATGTCTCTCTTGGTTTTTTATCTCTCTCTTCTCTAATCCTCCTCCATTTTCTTCTTCTTCTCTTGAAAAAAAATTTTCAAAAAAACCGGACACAGACAAAAGTGAGACAGACCTGAACAAGCAGGAGAGGAACTTGGAGGACTTCTTGGTTCTCGGGGGCGCGCGCGGAGGAGCAGCAGAAGCAGCGTCGTCCTGGCGACTCGACCGCGGGTTCGACACTGTGTAGCCTCGCGACTGGCCCGTCATTCTTCTACTATATTCTCTCTGGCACCTCTTTCTGGTTTATTTTTTTTTATTTTTCTCTCTCTATCTCCCTCCTTTTCTGTGGCTACCTTTTCTTTTCTAGGTTCTTTTTTTTTCTTTCTTTCTTTTGTTATTACCCTCGCGAAGAGACTGTATAGGGTCTTCTCCTGGGTATTTGGCAGTTAGTTATTTTATTTTTGTCGTTTCCGGCGCGGTCAGGTCTTCGCGGGGTTACGATTTTTTTTTCGGTGTCGTTCGCACGAGAGTACAGGCGACGACGAATGGAAGGAAGCTTTCGTGCTTTTTCCGGACTTCTGTAAATATCCCGACGCGCACAACAACGACGAAAGAAAAAAAAGAGGGGAGAAAAGAATTTTGAGGTTATTGTAAAAATAATTTTTGTATCATATTGTTCAAGAAATATTGTCACATCACAGTAAGCAAATATGATAGAACACGNAAATTTTAAAAAGTGAAGCACTGAACACGTTCCAAAACAACTTGCAATTAACAAAACATTTAGCAGAAACTAGAAAACATTTCTGCGACAGATGTTTAAATAATTGAATAAATCCGAAGTTTTTTTTCAAAACTGAACTTCGAACATTATAAACGCTCGAAAACTTAATTCTTAGAAAGTCAAATTTGCATTCGAAAGCCACTTGAAACTGAAAGAAAAATTTCAGACAAGGTTGAGACAAATGTGTCGCCGATAAAAAAAGCTGAATCAACAACATGCTCTTCAACCCCTAAGCTTATTCAAGATACATTCATGCAATTTTTTTTTAAATTTCCTTTCGAAGAAATTTGAAAGCCACAGGAAATTTGAGAGAAGGCATATCGAACAAGCTTCGAATTATTTAAAATCGCATGCTTCATTGGTTAAATATCCGAACTGCTCTAAAAAACGAAGCTCGTGTAACAAATACGAGTAAATATTAATTTCACTAGGAAATTTTTGGGACACTTGAAATTGGCGACGCTTTTACCACTTTTCAGGTCAACGGTTCACTGGATATAAATCGGAAGAAAGTCAAAAATTTTCGGAAATTCGGTTAACGTTCGTAGTTCAATCAATTTTTAGGTTTCAGGACGAAAATAAAATCTTTTAAATTAAATTTAGATCATATAAAAGTGGATTGGCTTCTCGAGGCCGCATTCTTCCAAGTTTGCATTTTTGAATCCATTTGAAATGATTTTCGTGAGCACTTTTTCAAAATTGAGATAATCGCTCGGACAAGTAAGGAATGATCATTATTTCGTTCACGTGCTTCACTAAATTATAAAAAAAATTTAATGCCGCAGCAACAAATTTTAAGAAAATTGCATGCGAACTGAATCTTTAGAAGTGCTCCAACATGTGAATTGGAAGTTCATTTCAAATTATTTTTCCACGTTATGTTCTTTCATCTTCGCGTACCTACACCAATTTGAAAGCTTTTTTTCAAATTATATAATAATTATTTCAAAGTTACGCACTTCAACCAATCCTTCAACCTTTAAAAAAAGTACCGAAGCTCAGCGACCCGAGAACAAACTTTTTAGCGAATTGCTTGAAAACTGAACAGAACATGTCTCTTCCATGTACAGTACAGTAATTTCAAGTTTATCCGAAATTGGTAATCTTTTTCCAAGACCACATGCTTCCCTGTTAGCACATCTGAATCAATCTGAAGCTATTTGAAATTGTAATTTTTAAAAACACTCTCATGAAGAACCCTTCACGCAAAAACTCGGGATTATAATGTAGCATCCCCACGATATCTGCGAAGAATCTCAACAACATTTGCACAGAAGCCTTATTTTTTCTTCTGAAAATGTATTTATGACTCGTCTTTAGAAAGTACACCAAGTGTTACCCAACCACTGGGAAATTTCTTGCAGCATAATAAATTGAGAAAAGATATACAGTATTGTGAATAAATTGAGAAACCTCGGAAAAACGAACGGCAGTTAAAATTATCCAAAGAAGACATAAGTTGGCTTTTCTCTAAACTAAACTTCGGACGAATTTTCACACGCTGAAAGGTATTATTTTTATTTTTTTATTTAGTTCAACAAAGCCTTTCTTCAAGCCCACCTTGGCATTGTTTTTAAACATTCCACTATACGTCTGCTTCATTGGATCTCAATTTTTTTCCAAAACACAGAACAATTTTAAATGCCTGCCAAATCTTGAGCGTTCAAGCACAATTTTCAAGTCGGAATTTTTTTTTACAAAACTTTGCCAACCTCACAGTAAAGAATAAACACAGTAAATAAAAATATGGAAAAAAAACCGGTCAGGTACACCGCAAATGCAAAAAATATATATAGGATGCCCACGAGGGACGCTCATTGCAGCAGAAGCAAAAACAAAATAATAATAATAATAATAATAATAATAATAATAATCACACAGAAAAACACGTTTGGGAAAAGAAAAATACAGTATATATGCACGAGAAAATGTCTCTCTTGGTATTTTATCTCTCTCTTCTCTAATCCTCCTCCATTTTCTTCTTCTTCTCTTGTTTTTTTAAAAGTTTTTTTGGCCTGTGTCTGTTTTCACTCTGTCTGGACTTGTTCGTCCTCTCCTTGAACCTCCTGAAGAACCAAGAGCCCCCGCGCGCGCCTCCTCGTCGTCTTCGTCGCAGCAGGTGGCGACTCGACCGCGGGTTCGACACTGTGTAGCCTCGCGACTGGCCCGTCATTCTTCTACTATATTCTCTCTGGCACCTCTTTCTGGTTTATTTTTTTTTATTTTTCTCTCTCTATCTCCCTCCTTTTCTGTGGCTACCTTTTCTTTTCTAGGTTCTTTTTTTTCTTTCTTTCTTTTGTTATTACCCTCGCGAAGAGACTGTATAGGGTCTTCTCCTGGGTATTTGGCAGTTAGTTATTTTATTTTTGTCGTTTCCGGCGCGGTCAGGTCTTCGCGGGGTTGCGATTTTTTTTTCGGTGTCGTTCGCACGAGAGTACAGGCGACGACGAATGGAAGGAAGCTTTCGTGCTTTTTCCGGACTTCTGTAAATATCCCGACGCGCACAACAACAACGAAAGAAAAAAAAAGAGGGGAGAAAAGAATTTTGAGGTTATTGTAAAAATAATTTTTGTATCATATTGTTCAAGAAATATTGTCACATCTGTCATTCGTTTATACTATCTTGTGCCTTAAATTTCGCCGATTTTTTTGTAGACCTTTACCCTAACTTTATTTATTCGTGAACTAAAGGCGCGCACAAAGGTATCTTGTAGCCGTCTTTTTTTAATGGCATTTTCCCGGCAGGGGTTTCATCGAATTATTTTTTTTTTTGCCAAGGTGTTTCCAACGGAAAACGAAGTTACGAGGAAGAAATATACGTAGTAAGTCGGCAGTATATTTTGATATTTACATTTTTGAAAAATTCGCACAAAAAAAAATCAGCGGGAGAACTTCAACTTCGAATTACGTACCATACAATTTCAAACCAAATCAGCGAAGTATTTAAATATGACGTCATATAGTCTACAAAGGAAAAGGAAGGCCTCATCCTTAACTTTATTCTGCGTTGAAAAACTTTCAACATTTTTTTTCTCCAAGGTTTCCTCGACTGAAATGGAAGTTGAGAGGAAGATAATTTACACAGATTAAATTTAGCAGTATTTTAACAATTAAAAAAACGTATACTTTCGCACAAGAAGACGAAAGATTCATGAATACATCAGAAGCGCGAGAACTTCAACTTCGCATTACGTAAGATGCAACTTCAAACCGGATCAGTGGATTATTTAAACATGACGTCATTTAGTCTACGAAGAAAATAAGTAAAACCTCATCCGTGACTCGATTCTTAGGGATAAAAAAAAAACGAAGAAAAAAACTGGAACTCACTGGAAAATTCAATTTCAATGCTTTTTATACTTCGAGTTTCGCACGGAGTAATTTTATATTTTTTCATTTTGCAAAACTTGTTCCTCTTTACGTTCACGCTTGATACGAATGACTGATGATCACATTTTATGCTCAAGGTCGGCCAAAACATAAGATGCACATAAGAAGGAAAAAATGTTTTTGCACTCTGAAAACGAGGATATAACCCTGTGAAAACCACTGAGGAAAACGCGACAAAAAACGAGCTCGGGAATTCTTGTCATTGCAAGATGTTCTTGACATTGGTAAAACGAATTACTAAAATTATTTTAATCATTCTAAATATTCGGTTTTAAAAATTGAACTGCCCGCAATTAAAAAAATAAATAAAGGCGAAAAAAGTATTTCTTCTCAATCATTTGGGGCACTTTCAAATGAATATCCCCTGAATCCCCAATTTTCGTCGTTTTAATCAGGGTACGAAATTTCAACTGAAAATCAAGAAATTATCAAATCTGGCTAAACAAAAATTTCACATATTCTAACAATGCTCCAAAACAAGATAAACACGATAACGATACGAACTCATGAACGACCCTCGTTCATTTCATGCAGGAATATTCCGGAATGACCGCAGGAAATCTGAATAATTTCAGGACGACCACGAGACCGATAATTAATGCTTCTCACGTAAACTCGAATTTCGCACGTGGCTGTTGAAAAATTCAGCGACAAAGCATATTTCTATTCTCGGCGGATTTCTAATCTTGATGAATACTAATGAAAATATCATCCCCTGAAAGTAAATCTCAGCACGCGAGGAGAATTCAAGGTTCCAATTTCAAAAGGACAACCCGATCGAACTGTTGACATTCAGTGAATAAATAAATAAATAAATCCCTTCATTTGTTCATAATACTTGAAGCACACCTTCTCTCGGCTTTTCACAGCGAAATAATGCGCATTTCTTGGAATGTGCTTCAGATTTTATTTTATTTTTATTAACGAACGCCGGTTTTAACTTGGGATTTCTTTAGAATACGAAATTCGTTTCGGGTTTCGATTAGAAAAACAAAGCATCCAAACCTTGAGCAAGATTAAAATGCCAGGTTAGTTCAACATAAATTTTTCCTCCCCCTTTAACCAAGATCTGTTTCTCATAATTCGACGCTTCAGTGAATTTAAACCGCGGGGAAACTGGTGAAGAAAAAAAAAACAAGTTGGAACAAACAATTCTAATTCTTTGATGAAAAAAAAAAAACAAAGAAAACGTTCCACACTTGCGCCAGCTGTAAATAATTAAATCGTATGTTAAACACTTGCCGAAGTCAGGAGAAACAAATGATTAACATACTGTAAATGAATATATAAAAAAAAAAAACAGGGAAGTCTAAGCGTCAAATTCTACACAACTGTGCAAATCTCATTTGAGAACATCTGTTGAAAACGTTTCTGCGTATGTGTCAAAGTTAACGAACAAAAAAAAAATTTTTG